TCCTGCTGAGGCTTCCTTCTACCATGTGTACAACAGAAGTGAAATTCCCCTGCTCCCAAGTGTAGTCTTAACTCTTATTCATGTTGTAACCCATAATAGCTGTCCAAATCCTGTCCTCTTTAATGACTTATTCTTTGTGTTTTGTGCATTTTGACACATTAATCAGCTATTGAAAGAAAGCTTCTTGACTTGAGAAGATATCTCTTATTATCTTCTTGAATTCTTACGGTCTCCTGTGCATACAAGCTATTGTCGTCTGCACATCTCAGTCTACCGAGTCATTGCTGGAAGTGTCGACTAGATCTGAGCATAAGACATGACTCTGGCACTGTTTAAAGTGTTCTTGATTTGACAAAGCCATGCCAGCTGCTCACAATTTTCTTCTTACCATTTTTAAGACATTCCAAATTTTTTTCTAATATTTTCAGTTATCCCACTGGGTTTTTAATTTTGGGTCCATTTTTCCCTCTTCTTCCCTTCTCAGGACACTTCCACCCGTGGCAGTTATCAAACAATTGCTAAGGGGTTTGGAGACCTCTGTTGCCCTCTTAAGTCATCTAGGGTGACTACCATTTCAGGGCACTTTGTTTCCATGAGGAGCAAAGATCTGCTCAAGAACTTCAGGTGTCCCAGTGGGCAGAGAAGGGTTTGCTGGGGAGCCCTCAGAGTCCTTTCTGTGGTCACCAGAACTTCATTCTTTCTAGGGTTTCAAAGCATCACTCCCAAAGTAAAATAAGAAATGTTTTCTGAAAACACTCATTTGCTAGTGAATACACAGAAAGGGTACTTCACCAAGCTGCTAAAGGTCTATGGCCAATTCACTTAAGTTACTGCTGCTACATGTTACAAAGCTTCCAGCTCTGTAGAGAAGCTTTCACTTTGTTGTTCATATTCATCAGTAGTCTTCAGTAAACAACTAACTGATACAATGACTAGTGACCTTGCAGGATTAATTAAGAAAATAAAAGTGTTAGAAGACCCTTAGTGACAGTATATCAGAACCTCACCTTAGTAGCATATTGCCATGGGTTTGGGCAGGTTAAAATCCTTCAGTTTGGTAATGAAACCAGCAGAAAGGTTTTACCCTGGTGTTTTGACTACAAGTAGCAGGATGTCACACGGGTATTTTTGCTAGGCGTCCAAGCAAGTTGAATACCTTATTTTTTTCTTCATCTGTAACCACTATGCTGCAGGCAATTTGGTGGCAGAAA